CCTTGTAATCTTCGCCTTGGGTACGTCCATGATGGGGTCTTAATCGCATCATTGAATCAGTACTTCTCGGTTGTGACATCCCGTCTCATTTCTGTCAAATATGTTGTGCGTTTGCTGTTGAAATCTTTTCAAATCAAAAGATGAGACTTGAGTTTCATTTTGCTGAGTTTATTAATTAGCGTTACTTTGGATTAATTTTTGCGATCATCCGTAACGTGTCCTATTACCTGCTCCATGGATTGCCTATTTTTGCGGTCAGTGAATCGATGTGACTGTTTGACTTGTCACCTTTGTTACCGACTGTATCGTTAAGCTCCTTGCTTCTTCCGTCAAGGCATATCATTGTGTCTGCTTTGAAGCATGATTTATGAAAACATGGCAATCTGCGACAGTATCAAAGCGAATAAGTTATTGATATTCATTGCATTTTCCTGGAACTCTATCATTTTTTCATTGAGAATGGCTCAAATGGTTAGGAAAACTTGCAATTAGGTGACCGAGATCAGACAGGTCGTTAAAACTCACTGGATGTTTCCGATAGATATGGGATTTAAGTGCCGTGTGAAAGAGCTATCTCAACATGCAACGTGTTGAAGATTCTGACTACTTGGCATCAGGGTTCGTGTCTAGCACCTTACGGGTGTCTGAGTCCAATCCATACACGCCTGTCACGCTTGCAGACATTTAGTTCCCGCCCAGACATATTGGAGTTGTCGCCTTTGTCTGAATTTATGCCTTCCGCTTTCATTTGAGCGCGATCCCTGAGTACGACATCTGATTGAAAAAGGGCCCGCGTCTGAATCAATACTACATTTTTTGACATTTCCATTTTCTGTGAGCTCTAGGGTCATATTTACGGTCGGATTTTCAATGTTATGGCTGGAAAAATCTGCTAAAAAAATATTCAGCCATCAATGTTACAACCATTTATCAGGGCGACGGCAATAACTATACAATACCTTGGACTCAAAAACTCTTGCTATCAGAATTTTCCCATGTTTAGAGTGCATTGTTCTCTAAGCCGGGTGCTTGTCAAACGAGTGTGGTTTGAGGTGTCATTTCTCGAATCTTTTTGATCTAATGGGTAAATAATGGACGCGAGAGTAGTGGCAGTAGTAGCCTTGCTTTGTTCATGCACCTCACCATCCTACACTGATCGATTTTTTCTTTATTTTTTTTTTGTGGGGGGAGGGAGGAGACGGAGGAACTGGTGTACACTATTCGTACTGTGTGACATTGTCAATGTCCTTTTTTTATGCTTGCGCGGGCGTGTTTACCATTGATCTTGACTAAAAGTGCATTCTATGGCATTTATTTGCCACTTAGAAGTGCACCCGCTTTTATTGTGATCGCGTTCACCGCCACCCTTTGATAGGGCATTTCTAATGGATCAAAACCGGGAATTCGGCTATTTTTCCTGTAGTAAAATGCAGGCAGTTGCAGAAGGCTTCGTTAGCACTTTTATTGCAATGGACAGGTCTTTTTCAAGGCGATAAATTTGCTTCCAAGTCTGAAACCACTACTGTTTAACTCTAACGGTGGCTAATGAGATTGGGATCTCATTCTAGTATGATTCAGTAATCTTCGTTGATTCTTTGGGATGGTAATTCTTCCTTTAACTTGTAAGGATTGTGTAGACCTATTCCCATTTGTCGTCTGACAGTGAGAACGGGCATCTAGCGGTCACAACATACAACGGTAAACATAGTTGTACCAGGTGCGAAGTGGAGCGTCTTTGAGGTGTGGTGTAAGTAATGAGTAGATCGTCTGGAGATAGTCAATGCTACGTTAGTTAAGCTAATGTGGAAACGGTAAAACACCACCTTGCTTCTCACCTTGAGTCCGCCTGTGTGCACACAATTCCGTTCCTAACAGTTCATTTCCTATACGAAACGCGAACGAAGTGAAGATCAACTAAGGCTCATTGTCATCCCTACCAGCGAGTGAATGCAGGATCCATTTGCCTCCCCTCTTCTCGTCGGCCATGACCAAAAGCCGTTCTTTTAATGCTAATCTCGAATCACGGAAGCGTTTTTTCCTCATCAAATGGAGGATTAGAGAGTCTCAATGGATTGCACCTATCCTTGAGCCATCATCTCTTCAGTTGATTTCAAACGACCATCGGACCTGTCGACGTTACACTTACAGATGCTGTGCATGAAATTCTGTAACCTAGGAATTGAACTAGATCCCCAAATCCCCAGCCACTTTAACAGGCCACATAGACCATTGAATTCGCCAGTTTCTACAGGCTGCGCGTCAGTGAGAAATGCTGTCACTAAGGTGCAGTGGTCAGAGGTGGTGGTGGTGGTGTTGACGTAAACGGGTGCGTACAGTTGAGCGAAGCCTCGTCATAGGTGGATATTGGTAGCTCGTGGCTACGTTGCAATGTAAATATCCTATAATATATTGCTCCCCAGACTGCGTCAGAATGGCCACAGGTGGGCCCAAAAGAGACGTGGTCGGTGCACAAGTACCTACTGCCATTATTGGTCATGTGGAATGCCATATCGACTTCCTGGGCTGGTGTTAGTCACTTTAACTCTTGTTCGGTCACCATTGTATTGGAGGGCAATGCTTTCAGAATTAGGACGGAATTTCATTTGGTTGCGGCGATGGTTGTTGCACTGTTTCTGCACTCATTACTTTTTTGTCGTTTTTATATCGCCTAAATTTTTCAACTGCATCTTTTGAAGCCGTCTTTAATTAAAATTGATGAAAGTGCGGTGTGACTGATGTCTGAGCAGAGATTCTATTGCTGCTTTACTGGAACCAAGTTGGATGTAAAAGCGTCTTGTGAGGAGCGTGAATCCATTTATCTCAAAATGCTTTCTTTCAGGCGAGTCAAGTCTGTCTCTACTCTGATTCACACTCGTCAGCGAGATTCTAAAAGTTTTCACTTTTTTGTTATGAATAGCAAAGATGGCGTTATCGCACGACATGATCGCGATGATAAGTCGGGGGGGTGGCAGGGAGGGGGAGAGTTATAAATACAGCTTCAAAAGGTTGTTATGCAATAATGGGAGGATGAAAAGTGGAGAAGGCTGTAGGGAAGACAATTGCTCTGGCCCTTAAATTCTGTGGAATTTTGCCTTCTGGGGGCTCTAGGTAGTCAGATTATCTCGACTTCGTGGTGTTCTTAACGCAACGTGGATCACTGGGGGGCCTCTCCTACCCTCTCGGTTTGGGAGGCTGTACCATGGTCAAATCCGGCTTATTTGTTTTGGAAAATTTTAGGTGCAAACCCAGTGACGAATTCTTGGTTGTCGATGCTGAGTCACACTCAGATTGGATGCTTGTCACCTCGGTACAGACACGTCAAAGTGGATACCTCCCCAAGTTCTGTCTCGAGGTTAGTCCGCAGTACTTATGACTTTTTTATGTGATCATGTACTCTCCCCCTCCTCAACATACAACCTGTCCTAGCTTGTCTAGGCGATTTTGTCAACATCGTAGTAGCCTTAACTTTTTTCATCCTCCTGATTTCTTTGCCTCAGCCTGCCATTCGAGCACGTAGTAATTAGGTTTTCGGTGTGATGATTGACTTTTCCCAGTTTTTTTATTTTTACTTTTTAGCTTTTGATCTCACTCTTTGAGTCTATAAACCAAGCCCTTACTGTATTCGATTAAAAGGCGGTTAAAGGAAGGATTTCTTTCTTGGTATCGTTCGGTGGGCATTTGAACTGCGACATTTGAATTTCCACAGGATAGAATTGGCGTTATAATTTCTCTTCTGTGATCGTAAGGCGGGTTTGGCGTGGCAAGCTTTTCCATTTTTCAGATCTTGGACAGCTTGTCACCATCGTGCTTTTCCCCGGTCCAAATAGCGTTCTTAAAGTGATAATCTGCTCGCTTTATGTCCATCAAATGACTCTGAGCTCATTAACACTTACAGGACTGATTGCCGCAACCTGATCTAGACTTCACTCGCGGCTGAGATGCGATTTTTCGGGGACTTTGAGTCATGGTTTGCAATAGACCTTGGTTGGTCGCCACAATGCACGCCTTTTCAGAGCACTGTGTTGCCCCTATCGTGATTAACAGTGTCTAATCTGGCACACACATATGACATGCGCACTGACTGTCAGTAATTCCAATAGGACAGACTTGGCCTTTAGGTGCTGCATGCAGCACCACTGTGGTGCGATCTC